GGATGGATGGAGGGAGGGATGGATGGAAGGAAGGAAAAGGAAGGAAAGAATCAACATAAAAAAGGTGTTTGATAACTAATACATATAATTATGTGATAACAAGTCCTCACCTGTTCTAACGCATCTAAAGTGTGCTGCTGAGGGTCATTAGAATGGAAGGAATCTCTTAARTGTTTGATTGTCTCTTTTACTAGTTCAAGCTCTTCAGTTCTCTACAAAAACAAAGACATTTTTTTAAAGAAGGGCATACAGATTTAGTTTTTAATGTTAAAAAAAATCCAAGAATCCATTATTTTAGGAGAAAAAGAATGAACGAATTGGAAAATGAAAAAAGAAAACGAGAGATACATACTGGAGGTCCAAGTTCTGTCTGTTGTGTGGATTGTGGAGAGAGTATCTTTTCTTCTAATGATTTCATTTTATGATCTTGATGGGTTATTCTTGACGAAATATCAGCCTTGGATATAAAATAATTTATCCATTATTAAATGATATATATATTTAGATATATACACCTAATTCAAAAATGTTGTCATCCCAACATGGAAATGGTGGTTTCGTTGAATACAAAGAACATCGAATCAGTCTCAACACTAATGTCCGTATTCTTGACGAGAATAAGAAGCAGAAACGAGTCATTCCAGCTATTCTTGGATCTTGGAATGACCTATCTCTTATCGCTTTTCGTCTATCTGATATTGCCTATTGCCTTTGGTGATGACAACGTAATGACAAGGTTTAATTAGGCRTATATTAAAGTATATGCTGATTGTATGGTTACCCCAGATTATAACATAGCCATGATATAATGCATGTTCTTATTGGTTAATTAGCAAGCGCAAGCACGTATCCAAAAATTGAAGGTGCTTGCTGACCTGATTGAGTAGTGTGGACTATGTAATGAATATTTTGTTGTTAGAAAAAATAATCCTTTATTACCTCATGAGAAGCTACATTCCTTAATTTTTCTTGTAGTGTGGCTATTCTCTTTCGTAGTTCATAAACTTGAGAGTCATTGGGATGTTTACTTGAAGATGCCTGGAATAAAAATATTCACTCAAGATAAAACCAAATAAACCATGATTCTTGTTTTTTWTACTCAGGTATAATGGCAAGTCTGAAGACTCCATTACATGGAGCAATTTTCTCTGCAACTTGTATCGCAACAGCT